CCCTTCTTGAGGTCTCCAGGCTGGAGTCTCTCCCCTTTCCCAGCGCACCCCTTTCTGGACCACCTTGAAACATAGCCTTCAGCCCACTACCTGTGCTCTAGAGCTTTGGGGGCTCTCTGCCTTCTCACTTACAAACATCCTATTCCACAAACATTTGGGGACATAAGATGAGCAACTGCCATCAGTGGTCCCTGATATGCCATGAGCTTCCTCAGCTCCCAACCCTTCCTCACCCCCTCCCCGGCGGCACACATCATCACACCTCCCTGCCCTGAGTCAGCTCCACACGACCCAGTGCCCAGCACCTGCTGCTGTCTCAGCAGGGAAGGGCAGGGGACTTCTGGTGAAATGACACAAGCTTTTGCTTCTTCTGTGGCCTCCTGTTACACTTCTAGACAGATGTATGCCTAAAGAATTCCAGCTACCGCCATGATAGCTCTTCACATGCTCTTCTTCATTTTTCAAAGCCGAATTCTAACACTGTTGCATTTATCCCTGTAAAATTTCCTCTTGCTGCCTCTGTATATGACCTGCTGCCATTTAGAGGGTTCGGCCTGCTTCCTGGCACACAGCCCGCCTTGGCAGCTGTGATCCGTGTGCGGCTCTGGAGATACTGTCCTCAGCCAAGTTACAGATAAGAAGGGACATAAGGGAATTTACATGCTTCTTGATTCTAGGCACTGTGCTGTGTGAGGGGCAAGTGAAACATGGTCCTTTGACTTCTGGGAACTCAAATGAACATATAAACAGCAAGGGTGCCCCGCATGGCTATTGGGCTAGGTAGCAAGTACTATGGGACCTCCAAAGCAAGACACTTGTCTGTGATTAAGAAAAGCGTGGACAAGCTATAGGGGAGGTAGTGTTCTTTTTTAAGATTTTAAAAAATGTTTTATTTATTTTTGAGAGAGAGTGTGTGAGCAGGGGAAGGGCAGAGAGAGGAGGTAGGGACAGAAGGTCTGAAGCGGGCTCCACATTGACAGCAGCGAGCCCAACGCAGGGCTCAAACTCACAAGCCTCGAGATCATGACCTGAGCTGAAGTCAGACACTCAACCAACTGAGCCACCCAGGCTCCCCGGAAGGTAGCATTTAAAATCTGCACAAAGCAATAATCAAAATTCTAAGAATATAAAAGCTGCATACAGGCATATTCTATGACCCAGCAAGTCTACCCCTCAGAGTTCACACCCAACAGAAAAGCAATCACACTCCACCAAAAAGCACATGTGAGATGTTCACAGTAATGCTCTTTGTAAGAGCCCAAATCAGACACACCCAAATGCCCACCGCCTGGGGAACGGAGACGAAAATTGTGGAGTGGTCTCACAATGGGACGGAAAACTGACAATGCAGGTCACACTACAAGACCCAATCTAAGCAAGGCGGACACGAAAGATTATGCTTTACATAATTCTATTTATTGTACTTCATGTATGAAGTACAAAAGCAGGCAGAGCTCATTTGGACACAAGCAGTCAGCACGGTGGTCAGCATAGACAAAAGGGCAGGGACCCAGTTGGGGTCAGAAAAGAGCTTCGGGGGTGCCGTCAGGTTCAGTTTCTTTTTCTGGGTGTAGGTTACATGGGTGTGTTCAGTTTGTAAAAATGCACAATGCTGTGCACTTAGGATATGTTCAGCTTTCTGTGAGTAGTAGACTCCAGTAAAAAGAAAGAAATTGATGGGGCGTCTGGGTGGCTCAGTCGGTTAAGCATCCAACTTCAGCTCAGGTCATGATCATGCGGCTTGTGAGTTTGGGCCCCACATTGGGCTCTGTGGGCTCAGAGCCTGGAGCTGCTTTGGATTCTGTGTCTCCTTCTCTCTCTGCTCCTCCTTCACTTGCACTCTCTCTCTCTCAAAAATAAATAACAAAAAATAATAGAAAGAAATTGAGTACAGCTATTTAGACAGCTACACAGCTATCTACTAAGTATTATTTTCCAAAACACATTTCAGTTATTTCTCTGCCATTAGGCCATGAACTGTTTTAGCTGCCTTATGCCTCCTTTGGCACAACATATAGTCCAAGCACACAACAGACCCTTGATAAATCTTCAAGAAGCCAAGATACAGTGGGTGATCTTCCTACCCACGAACCCTTCCGGGTACAATTTGGCATGGCACCTTGTGTCTTAATGCCCAGTCTATTTAGAAATGCTCTCCAAAGGTCAAGATCTAATCAAACTAGGAACTGATGTCATAATGACCCACTCGTGCATTCTAGACCTCAGCTGTTCCCTATTGATTTTTTTTTTTGTATCCACATAATTTTCAGCTGCTCATACATTCTAGAGAAATCGGCCAGAGTCCCTTGCATCATGGAGCCTCCAACCCTGTGGGATCAGTCTTGCGCTCCCTGTTTAATCAAGGATGCTGCACATTCAATGATATTCCTCAGACAACTTTCAATGCCAGAAGACACAAGTCATTGGGGCCTGGCCCCTCAGCTCAGAGACTAATGCTGTCTTATTAGTTCTTTGGCTGCTTCTTTGTCCATCCTTGTAGGCGGGAGCTGGCGCCAGGCAGGATAGGGGCAGTGCTGCGCTCTCTGCGTCTGGGTCACAGTCTTCTTGTCTTGTTTACAGCTTCCAGAGCCCCTCCCATCTTCTCGAACATTTCCACAGCCTTCCCCACTCTTCTGTGCCTCTTTGTTCGCTGACAAGAGGAATCCGCAGCCTCATCAGCTCTGCACCAACCTCCCACCACCTCCTGGGCAAAGTCCTCCTCCGAAAGAGACTAGAAAGAAGAAGAATGGGGGGGGGGGGGTTTGCTGGAGGTGCTTGTACCAGATGGGGACAGGCAGGGTGGATGGTACACAGAGTTCAGAACAGGGCAATGGGCCCGCGCTGGGGGGCAGCACTGCCCACAGGGCTGGGTGACCTTGGGCCTATCTGGCCCCATGACTTCACAGTGTGAAGGAGCTGAACTAGAGGATTCTGAGCTCTTTCCAGCTTTAAACACCCCAAACCCTAATTATGATCCTTGTCTCCAAATAGTGAAATATTAAGATTTTTTTTTACTTCTTCTCTTCTGCATTTTGCAAATAGTTTATAGTAAGTTTGTAATACTGACGTGTGTGTGTGTGTGTGTGTTCACAAGACCAGAAAGTCTGATTCTAAAAAGATAATGGAAAAGTTTTTTTTAGAAAAGGTAATGAAATAGAGGTGCCCAGGTGGCTCAGTCAGTTCAGTGTCTGACTTTGGCTGAGGTCCTGATCTCCTGGTCCACGAGTTCAAGCCCCATGTCAGGCTTTGAGCTGCTTTGGATTCTGTGTCTCCTCTCTCTGCCTCTCCCCTGCTCGCACTCACTCTCGCGCGCGCTCTGTCTCTCTCTCAAAAATAAAATTAAAACATTTTTTTAAACTTTAAAAAAGAAGGAAATTAAATAAAATTTAAAAGTAAAGGCAGAAGAGAAAGAAAGGCCCCACGGGAAGACTCAAATCCCTGCAAGGGCAGCATTGACCTGGGAGGTAGCCCACCTCCAGGGAGAGGCCTTTGTGGCCTCATGGCGCCATCTGCTGGTCATCCTGGGACAACCGCTTCAGCTTGATTCGCAAAAGGGCTTCGAGGTGAATCCAGCCCACATCGCTGAGTTGCATTCTAGATATCGATCACATTCTATTTACAGGCTCATCTCACTCGGTACCCTCCTCCAGAATTTACTTTTGATTTCGCATTACAGTGATAACTGTAACCGGGACACCTAAGTCCCTTTTGTACAAGGAATGGTCACCGGATAACTATGCACGGCCCCTCCTGCCTGGTTCTCCAGATCCTCTCCCCTCTGCTCTGAGAAAACTCACTCCCAGCCATCTTTGAACAGTGTCAGTTTCATCTCCATAAGTCTTTGTCCTAAAGGTTCCCACAGATCGTGACTTTTTGGCCTTGGGTTGATTCAGTGGCTCAAGCATTCCCACATAGACCAACAGCCTAAAATGCTGGCCAGGCCTCTGGTGCGTCCCTCTAGCTATTGTGAAAGCTGCTTTTCTACCTCCGCAAAGAGAGTGGGGTTCCTCGCTCCCTGGCAGTATCTGCTGGAAGGAGGCCTGTGGTCCAGCTGATCTCTCACCCTCTTCCCAACCAGACCCTTCCCACAGAGGCTGCCCAGCAAAATCCCCCTTGCTGTCTGAGGCTGGTTTTTAGGCGCAGGACAGACAGCACACATACCCAGCAACACCCTCTGTTGTAGATACTGGTGAGAAAGTGTTTTTCTTCTAACACTGCTCATTCCAGTTCTACAAGTCACCTCTCAAAATACCAGCCTTTAAAAATAGCCCTAACCAGACTCTGGACAGATGCATCCATTTATCTATCCGTCTGGGGCATTGTGATACAATAATGTCCCCAGTTCTTGGCACAGAGCTTCTAAAACCTGTGAATTTCCCGAGTGAGGGGGGGATATTTGGCTTGTGTCCCCATTACTGGCACAGAGGGGTTTGGAGAGCTTCTGGGTTGATGAGCTCATCAACATTCAGGGATATAGTACCCCCAACTCCACGGGGACACCCACAACTGGACCCTCCAGACCTCGCCCTATGTACTTCTTCATCTGGCTGTTCATTTGTTTCCTTTATAATGTCCTTTGTGATAAACTGGTAAGGGCTAAGTAAGTAAGTACATACGCACACATAGGAAAGGAAAGGAAAGGAAAGGAAAGGAAAGGAAAGGAAAGGAAAGGAAAGGAAAGGAAAGGAAAGGAAAGGAAAGGAAAGGAAAGGAAAGGAAAGGAAAGGAAAGGAAAGGAAAGGAAAGGAAAGGAAAGGAAAGGAAAGGAAAGGAAAGGAAAGGAAAAGAAAGAAAAGAAAAGAAAAAGAAAAAGAAAAAGAACTCTCAAGTCTTTTCTGAACTTCATCAAGGTCTTCACATGGTGTTTATTAGTAGAAAGTGATGAGGTCTATCCTCAAGGCAGAGGAGGGCCTGGGAACCCCTGATTGGTCCTGCCCGGGAGGGGAGGGCTGCTATATTTGGAGAGCAGCGGGGATGCCGCCTCCCCCTGCAGTGCCTACGGAGGCAGGACGGTGTGCTGTTGGACAGCGCTGCTGAGGCTCCAGAGAAGCACTCCCAGAGACAGCCCAAGGTAGGCGGCGAGCCAGAGTTCACACGGGGCTCCGTTTCTGCGATCAGCGTTGCTCATTTCCAATTAGACTGCAAACCATGCCATGATTTCTTTTCTCCTACCTCCTGGCGTGAGTCTCCAGTCAAGGGGACACGTGGGAATGTTGGGGTATCACTCGTGTTGCATGTGTGCTTTTGGTGTTGACCATAAAATGCTATTTTACAGTTGGCTGGTTGGGATTTTCTTTTTGCTTTGAAGCCCTTGTCTATGAACATTGATTTCTTGCCTGAGATCTCTATGCTTTCGTTTCTTTAATTTGACCCACCTGCAATTTGTGTTATTATTCTTACGTTAGCATTTCTCCTACCAAAGAGGATGGTCTGAGGGCACGGGGTGTGATTAACGAATGTTTGCTTCATGCTGGGATCTCTTTGGAGAAGGCTGGTCTGAGATCACTGTGATGAGGGGATAGGGAAGATAAGGTGCCAGAGCATGGCTGTGGCTTAACACACACACTTACGCCCCCCTGGGGCCAGAGGCTAGATCATACCTACAGGTAAAGAGAGGTCAGCAGGCATCCAGAGATGATTGCACTGAGTTTGCATCTTGTCCTTTTCCCTACGTAAGAACCAGTGTCACGATGGAGTTGAACATTTGACCAGAGGTGGACTAGTCACTTCGAGAATACTGCAGGGAGGGTGTGTCAGGGGCTAAGCAAGCTAACTTTTCAACCTCCTCCACCTCTGGCAAGAATGGACTCATGTAAAACTTTGTCTAGGACCCAGCGTAAGCAGGCTTGGCTCTAGTAACTGTTCCGGCGTTTCTGATCCACACCGACAAAGGTCCAGACCCTGGAATGCCCCGAACGGTTGATCTTGGAAAGTAGAGAATGGTTGACCTTGGGAAGTAGATTTCCACAATAGCTATTGTAGTTTCAGGAGCCAGATATGACAAACTACCGGACTAGGGGGCTGGGGGAAGGGGGGATAGCCCCTGAGGTCATCAGCAGCCCTTCAGATGCCCAGGGGCCACCTTGACCCTGAGCCCTCAGTGCTCTCCCAGGCCCTCTGAAATCCCTCAGGGGCCCTGCTCTTTGCTCAGCGTGGGGGCCATCGGTGCTGCCCTTCATGCCCAGTGAGTCAAAAGCAGAAAATCTGAGCATCATTCCCTCCAGCAGCCCAGAGGGGCCATGATGTATGGCTAGTGGGCACATGGGAACAGTGTCAGATAAAACTGGATTCAAATCCACCACCTGCTAGTATGGAGCCTTGGGCAAATGACTTACCTACAGAGAATCCCAGCACAATTTTTATAATATGGAAATAATAATGTCCCTACCCCATGTGAGAATTAAGCTAGTCAATGCCAGTGGTTCCCATGTAGTAAGTATGCAATACAAAGCTGGGTGATGGGGAGGGTGGGGTCACGCTGCCCCCTGGGATGAGACTGGGAGTGTGACACATCATGACCTCCTGACACAGAAAGCGGCAGGGGTCTCCTGGCCATGCTTCCATCTCTCTCTCTCCACCATTATCATCAAGCCCTGTAGGGTCAGCAGCCCGGTGACTTCCTTAGAATGGATAGCAGAATGTGCCAGAGACAGGGCCAGCTTAGAGCAACAGAGAATACAAAGGAAAGATCAAGGATACCGTCTGTACACAGAAGCCTGTGGCTCCAACTCTTCTGTGTGTTTTCCGCAGAGAGCCCTTGATTTCAAAGACTTGGGAGCACTAGAGAAAACCTATATATATTATGCCCTTACTCATTTATTTACCCACACAGGCCTTATAATTGCCAGTTGTAGCTTCTTATCTGTCTGAGAAAACCATATCTCTGGCCTAAGTGCGTATAATTCCAGGCAAAAGCAAGAAACTCGGTATTGACATAGCCAGTACAATCAGAGCATGGGAAAACTATTACGGTTTTGGAAAATGTAATGGCTTAAGGTTGCATTCCTTGCTTAAAATCTCCTGCATGTGGGAGGGGGGCAGGGGAGCCCAGGAAGCCCACCAGGGAGAGTAACCATCCCCGGCCTTTGCTATTACAGATCCTGACACAATGAGGAAGCATCTGGGCGGATGCTGGTTGGCCATTGTCTGTGTCCTGCTGTGCAGCCAGCTCTCAGCAGTCAAGGCAAGAGGCATAAAGCACAGGATCAAGTGGAACCGGAAGGCTCTGCCCAGTACCTCCCAGGTCACCGAGGCGCGCAAGGCCGAGATCCGCCCTGGGGCCTTCATAAGGCAGGGCCGAAAGCTTGATATCGACCTTGGCGCTGAGGGCAACAGGTACTACGAGGCCCACTACTGGCAGTTCCCGGATGGGATCCACTACAATGGCTGCTCCGAGGCCAACGTGACCAAGGAGAAGTTTGTCACCGGCTGCATCAACGCCACCCGGGTGGCCAACCAGGAGGAGCTGTCCCGCGAGAAACAAGACAACAAGCTTTACCAGCGGGTCCTTTGGCGGCTGATCAGGGAGCTCTGCTCCATCAAGCACTGTGATTTTTGGTTGGAAAGGGGAGCGGGACTTCGGGTCACCGCAGACCAGCCCGTGATGGTCTGCCTGCTGGTTTTCATTTGGTTTGTCGTGACCTAAGCTTGCAGGCAGGCTGGCGGCCGCGAGGGTGGGAGGGGGAGCAAACCGCTGAGTGACCCCAGTTCTTCTCTGGGCCCAAACCCCCGCGTGTCCCGAAGGAACCAAAGAGCCAGGCATTCCCTCGGGTATCCGTTTGCGTTTGATAAGTGTGTGCGTACCAGTCCCCTCCAGGCTCTACCTAAGGGGGGCCGTGTAATCACGACATTCTCAGCTCCCAGTGGAGGGTCTGGCGCGTGGTGTTCCGCAGTAAATGCTGGGCGAACAGATAAGAGAACGCGCCAGGGACCAGGCCTCGGGCTCCACAGCATGTCCCGACCCCTCTTAGAGGTAGGTGCTATTCCCACTGTATAGTTGAGGAAACTGAGGCTCCAAAAGGTGAAGTGGCTGGAAAGCAGCAGAGCCCAAATTCAATCCTGGTTTGTCTAACCCCGGATTTTCCCATTCTGTGCAATCCCAGAGCTGTCTTGTGATCCCGTCCTCACTGCTCGCACGACCCAAACGGAAACACAGATTTCTGATGAAACCGTGGAAACCCAACTTTGAGAAACATAAAACGGCCTGAATGGATGGCCACGTATCTTAATACCTTGTTGCATGGAGGTTTTATTTAATTCTTCTCATTAAACTAAGATACAAGAAAGGGATTAAATGAACACAGAAGTACAACTAAACAAAGGCCCAGAGATCATAGCGTAAGGCCACCTTGCCAGGCAGGTTACCAGAAAAGACCAGAAGCACAGTAGGATGTATCCTCAGCACCAAGGGTTTTTGTTTTTTGTTTTTTGTGTTTTCAAAAGAAAGATAAGTGCTTGCTATTCCTGTCTCTGAAATATCACCTGGATTTGAAAATGTATTTTTAGCTGACATGTTTGCTTTCTAATGTTCCCCTAGCCCTTTCTGCATCTAAGTACACGCATAAAGAATCTTTAAATATACTCCCTTTACACGGGTACCACGCCAATCTCCGGCTGTTCTTTTACACCCACTTCAGTGAGGGGCTGTCATTTCTGTAAACCACTTATCACTCTAAAAAAATAATTCCTTGCCAAAAAGTTTCAAGAGAAGCCATGTCTCTAGGGAGACCTGACAAAGAATTCACTCGTGGCCTAAGCAAGAGTAGATATGCCACTTATTATCTACTTCTTATTAAATACAGATATTACAAAATGTTAGTAGTTAATATTAGTTAAATATGTATTACAAAATATGAATATGGCTTAACTACAAATGATGAATCTAATGCTCTAAGATACCCCCAGAGGCCCTCTGGGGGTGCATTTAGAGACAGCCCCCCTCCCCAGGAATTATTGGACCATATTTTGGTGCACCAGCTGCTGAATGTTATCAGTTCTCCTTAAAAAAGAGTCTGTAAGGGGAGGAAAATGTGCATTCTCAAACAGTTTATCCTACGTGTTTTAAATCGTGAATGTGATAATGGTACCTCTTGTTCTGAGCCTCCACTGCTATCAGTGTTCTTCTCAAGGATACTTTTGGAAGGTTTTAACACAGAAAGCCGGGGAAGGACTTGGGGGCAGGGCAGCCCAGGGTAGCGGCTTTCCCCTCGGGACCTGGGGGCCTGGGGGCTGCCGCCCTGCCCTGAATCAGCACCAGAGGAGGCGCCTTAGTTTTTACTGTGCCTGCCTTCCACTTCCACAGTCCTGTTGAGTTCTTGAGCAGAGCATAAGATAGAAGTACAAGCCATATAAGTCATTTCTGGCCTGTCAATTTTTTATTTTTATTTTTTTTAGTAATAACAATAGCAAGAAAGACTGAAAAAGATGGAAGGCAGGAAGGAAGGCAGAAAGGCAAGAAAGAAAGAGAGAAAGAGAAAGAGAGAAAGAGAGAAAGAGAGAAAGAAGAAAGAAAGAAAGAAAGAAAGAAAGAAAGAAAGAAAGAAAGAAAGGAAGGAAGGAAGGAAGGAAGGAAGGAAGGAAGGAAGAAAGAAAGAAAAAAAAGAAACTACTCGTAGGCTGGTGTTGAAAATTTCAGGCCAGTTCTGCTGAGTGTAACCACAAGAACACACACAGGCATATAAGCAAAATGACTTCATTTCTTAGGTGAAAACAGGCCACAACATAGTACATTTTCTAGAACTGCCATCTCATTTCATTAACAGTTCCAGACACCAGATTTAAGTGAGCACATGGTGATTCAAATGCAAACAGCATTCATGTAGCTTTTATTTGGGACTATATGGACTTGAACATCCTTGCTGACGCTTACGAATTATGAGGTCAAGGGAAGGCTTCGTGAGTCTGGTTGTTCACCGTAGCAAAAGGTTGCCGAGCACCTACTATGTGTAAGACATCGTAAGGGACCTCTGAATTATTCTTGATACAGTCATTCTAAAAGTGACTAATTTCACCAACATTGCATTCTCATCCCCTCCGAGTGTCGACTTTTCAAAATGTGCTTATTGTAAATGTGACATTCAAATGGCAATGGAAATCCAAAAGAACACATTGCTGGCAATCCCTGAATCTGATTAAGACTGTTTTTATTGTACCCTCTTACCTCCTAAGCCTTATCCATTTGCATATACAAATGTACATAACTGCAACAGTAATGTAGCTTTTATATTCCAAATATTCTCTGAGCTTTATTCTAGGCTTTTTTCATTTCTGTATGATGTTTTCATTCTTGCCTCCCCCTCAACCTTTCCCAACCCATCCACTCCTTCCTGCCTACCGTGTAACCCCCACAATTTCACTGTGCTTGGGTATATAAGGGAGGGTTTTGAAAAATTTGATTGCTCCTTTTAAAAACACTATGATTGTACATATCACATTTATTCCTTCGCAATTGGGCTCTGTAACTTCCTGCTGCATCATGAACCTCTTTCCAGTTCGACAGCGAGCTGGTTAGCTAATGTGTCCTTTTAGATTGCTGTGGAATATTCCACGGTGCAGATGGCCCCTGGTTGATTTGACCACTTCCTTGCTGATGGACCTTCAGGATGGCTTCAGTTTTTTGCCGTTGCAGACAATAAACAACCTTGAACGATGTGTGGCTTTTATTTCTGTGGAGTCATTTTAGATAGAATCTTAATATAAGTAATTTAAATTTTTCTAGATATGACTAGATTATGTTCCTACATCACCAGAGCAATTCTTCTTCCTGCCTGCCATGGATGATGCTAACCTGTAAGGGTTTTTATGTCACTTGAGTGTAAGAACCTGCCTTTCCTGCAAATGTCGCTCATGCACCTTCTCTCCTTTGCAGACAGCACACCAAATCCCGCCAAGTAATTTCTGACCACCAGCACCCCAGCACCGCTTGAAAACCCTAAATCTGTTAGCAATTCTTATTCTAAATCTGGGTTTGGGCCCAGATGAGAAGCCTGGAAAGCAGGCTGAGTATATTTGGGCTTTAGAGGGTGATCTATCTGCACAACTCCACACTCCCTGATGACCAGGGAAACATAGGGTGAGGTGTGGTCCTGGCCTTTTTCTTAAAGAAAGATTTATTTAGCTTTTATTAGTTTTTAGAGAGAGAGTACAAGAGGGGAAGGGGCGGGGGGTGGGCAGAAGATTGGAAGTGGGCTCCCCGCTGACAACAGCAAGGCTGATGTGGGGGTCAAGTCCACCAGCCACGAGATTATGACCTGAGCCAAAGCCGGATGGTCAACTGACTGAGTCCCCCAGGCACCCCAGTCCTGGCTTTTTTATTAATCTGGGGTAAATAACCTGCATTCCAGTGAGAATGCCCTCTAGGAGATAAAGACCAAAAGCAGCAGGCGTCATGCACACTGTTCAAGGAGCTGGGGCCACTCCTCGCTTCAGGGCCCCTGCAGGCAGCCAGCATCTCCCCAGAGCCCACGCACCCCATCTTGCTTAGGATGTGCTCTGCAACATTAGAAACCCCGCCCTGTGGTCCTAACGAGACGTGTCCGGGTAGTAGCCATGAGTTTGCCTTGAGCTGTTTACACTCTCTACCTCAAGCTCTCTGATAAGAAGGGACGGACTTGGGGCAGTGGCCCATTGGCTCAGGAGCACCCAGTCCTACTTCACATCTTGGGGGTTGGTCACTTCTTGCATTTCCACCCAATATGTATTCTTCATGCGCTGTATAGGGCTGGACAAGGACGCCCTAAGATGCCCGTGTGTTGTGGCGTGGCACCTTCTGGAGTCTGTCACGGTCTCAATGAAAGACTAAGAGCAGGACCCATGTGCCCCCATGCAGGCAGTGATGGCACATGGGTGGCGGGCCACGAGCACTGAGTGAGTGATCGAGGAGATGCCAGGCATGGCATCCTGGCAAATTTCTGTTCCCCCAACGGGAAGCTCAGATGCTGCTCTGTTGCAGAGCAGAGCTCTGGCAGAGCCAGCTCATGCTGGGTGTGTGTTGGCCCATTCTGTCCCAAGACCGTGCAGCCAGACATGGCACCCGACTCCTTCTCATACCCTCATTCTGACAGCAGACCCACTTTCAGCTGGGCACCCACTTTCCCCGTGGAGGGGAAGGCACCCAAACTCCCATGTCACTGGTAATGACAGACACCTGCAAAATGAGAATAAATCCAACAGTCCCAGCAAAATGAGAAGAAGGCACAATGTCTCTGGGACATCTCTAAGCCCGTCCCAGACCATTCAAAGCCTACTCAACGAACTCAGCTGTTTCTCTTGTCAAACAGAAGGCTTCACCTGAGACCATGGGAGGCCTCAGATTGAAATAGGTCCCATGTACTGACCACCCCCCTTCTAAAGGGACTTTCCTGGACCCTAAAGGGACTTTCCTGCACCCAGTCCAGAGCCGACCCCCCAAAAAGGCTTATCTTTCAACACTTAAGGGTCACCGCATCCTCAAGCTGCTTCCCCTACCCCGGTCAGAATTTCTTATCTCTACCCACCCACCCACCCACCTGGTCAGCCCTTGGAATTCCCAGACCTTATTTTAATGGAAATCTTTTCGTGGGAAAGCATTGCTTTCTTAAACAATACAGATTGCTTTAACTCCAGCAGGCTTCTCTATAAATTGTGGAAGGAAATTGGCAGAAGGCCAGAAAGGAACTTGAGGAAGCTAGAAACAGGGTCAGGGTCAGAGGACCTAACACAGCTGGTCTTTCTGGATGGAGGGAAGTGGGTAAGAATGGGAGGTTAGGGGAGAGGGCAGGGGCCTAGGAGAAACTGTTATCCATGGAGAGAATTACACATGTGGGCTGATCAAAGGTGCCACCAGCATCCAACAGGGTGGGGTGTTATGCACCCAGGGCTCTAGGTTCCAGAAACAACCCTCAACACCAAGGAGAGGGAGTTTCAAGGACTAAGCAGAGGAAAGTAGGGTCCTGGCAATTCCTACATCAGCTGTGTTGTGCTTGAATTTCCAAATCCACAATTAGAGCTTCTAATTTTTTTTTAACTGGCTGTTTTGACTCAGGGCTACTTGGCAATCAAAAACAAAATGAAGGAATTATAGCATCTGCAACACTGTGATTTATAAGATGTGATTTATAAGATACTGGTCATCTTGATGACCAAAATACATTTCTCATATGTATTTGGTCTCCGTCCATGGTTCTTGGCTCACAGCCCCCCAAACCCTTGGAATTTGATGAGCAATAAGATCAGTGAAAGCATCTTTTGT